AAGAAGATAGGCCTTGCAGCAGACTACCTGGGTTCAAATAACAGCTCGAATACTTCCAAGTTGAGTGACCTTGGCCAGGTTGCCTATGCTCTTTGTACCTCATTTCCCCTTACTAAGGTGGGTTAATATACATAACATGCTTAACATGTAGTCAGTGCTGTATAGGTGTTTTGTACTTTTATTCTTGGGGAGAAATTAATACTTCATTATCACAAAAAGCTCAGACAGAATAGACAATGTTCTTGTTATTAAGAACAATCATCATTAAAGTATACTCACTGGTTTGTAGGGGGATTCCATATTTTGAAGCAATTTGCTTTTTACTTAAGTTATATGTCAAAAAATCCTTTGTGTGGTTTCCTTTTGGCTTCTGGGAGGAGGGCAGCATGGCAATTAAATATTCAGTGGTAATTCCTTGGGAACACAATGCTTGGGAAATGGTCCTAAATGATCCCTGGGGTGTGTTCATTCGGTTGCTTCTGTACATTGCCTGTGAAACAAAAAACCGCGATTTATTAACATAGGAGCTATAGATGCTACTGAAAACAATATAGAAAGAACACCGACGATGCTTAGAGGATCCTTGAAGTTTCTATAATTCCTTTAAAATGTGTATCCCAAATGTAAATGCAGAATGATAATCTTCACCAATTTAAGTGGCAAAAAATGTAGCTAGAGTAGAGTTTTCTTGTAGGTGATTTTTTTCTTAATGTACTAAATTTGAAGCCGTGTTAGAACTAATCTTAGAAACAAGTTGATATGACAGAAGGAATTTTTCAACAAGAACATTCCTGGGTAACTTTTCTACCTGTGTTAATGGAACATTTCTGGGCAGATGCATTTGTTTCAGGGATCTCATTTTGTCTAGCAGCGGATGTGTGCCGGAAGCCATCTGATTGAGAATCTCCTTTAGTCTCATGAAGAGTTCTATCATCTTTTCTACTGGCTTTTGATCTTTCCTAGGGAAAAACACCTAACAGAAACAGAATAAAAATAAATCATTTATGTGGAGAAACTGGAACCCTCATGCACTGTTGGTAAGAATGTAAAAAGATACAGCCACTTTGGAAAACACTTTGAAAGTTGTAAAATAGCTAAATGTAAATGTACCATACAACCCAGCAATTCCATTCCTAGGTATTTATCCAAGAATATTGAAAACATGTGTCTACACACAGATTTGTATGCAAATGTTCATAGCAGTGTTATTCACAATAGCCAAACGGTGGCAACAATCCAGGTAAATGGATAAAACAAAATGTATATCCTTAAAAAGGAACACTATTTGGCAAGAAAAAGAAAAGAAATACTGAAATGTGTTACAACATGTATGAAACACAAAAACATTATATTAAGCAAAAGAAGCCAGACAAAAAGACCACATATTGTCTGATTCAATTCATGGGTAATATCTAAAAAAGACAAATCTATAGAGACAGAAAATGGATTAGAGGTTGCCTGGGTGAGAGGTCAAAATGAGAAGTAACTGTAAATGGATTAGAGGTTTCTTTTTGGGGTGCTGGAAATGTCCTAAAATGACATTGTGGTAATAGTGACACAATTCTATACATTTACTAAACAATTGTTGAATTGTACACTTAAAATGAGTCAATTTTATGGTACATAAATTATACCTCAATAAAGTTGCAAAATAAATGACTTTAGAGGTCATCAAGGCAAATGCCAATTACATACTCTTCATGCATACTATTGCTCAAAAATCATATGATGTGTTCCTAAAAATCAGGAAAACTCTGTCAAAAAGCTTACATGCTTTATCAGGCTATTTAATTCCATAATGCTTATTTGCTTCAAGAAGAAACATTGAAAATTTTTTTTAAATCTTAAAATAATTTCATCCTCTGATTCATTCATTTATTCAGCAGACATTGAGTCCTGATATGTTGCCAGCACTGCACGAGGTAACGGGTATGCAGTGGTGCACGAGGGGGCATCATCCCTGCACTCAGAGACCTTTGGTCTATTAGGAGGCACAGAAATCAAACAAGGCAATGAACAAAGGCTGGGGAATATGAGAAGGCAGGGAGCCTTTAGCTAAGAAATCAGAGAAAGTCTCTTTCCAAGTTGGAATCCTAAAGGATGAGAAAGAACATATCATAGGAAAAATACGAAGAGGAAGGGTATAGGCAGAGGGGGAAAGATGTATGAGGTCCCCAAAGAGAGAAAGCTCTTGGCCTATCCAAGGAAGTCAAAAACCATGATAATGAGCACAAGATTCAGTTGGAGAGATGGCCTTGATCCCATCTGCCACACTGTTCAGCTCTCATTCATGAAGATGTAGATGTCTCAATGGCACAGCTACTAATTGCCATCAGATTTTTCTCAATTAGAAGCAACATTTCTCTTTTTCTATTTTCTATTCTAGTTCTGAAATTCTAGGCATTCCTATATTGACGTGACATAAATTGACTGATGATGGGAAATTTTTATTATTTTTGTTTGCAATACTAAGAAGAATTGGGAATGGTCTGCTTGTCAAATGCACATGTTTAATTAATAGACTTGCCAAGAAATATTTAGTCTGATTTCTTCTCTGTAGAGATATTATAAAATAAGAATTAAAATTTTAGGTGAACAAAATTCATAATTTCATGTCATATGTATTTTAGGTTATAGTTCATGTAAAATAACCTTTAGTTTAGTTATTGGGTATTTTCTGAGTTTCCCTATGAGCCAGGTGCTGTTTTTGGCATTTGAAATATTTCAGTGAACAAAGAGGACCTTGTGGAGCTTACATACTAGTGGGAATAGACAGAAAATAAATTAGGAAAATGGAAACTAAATAAAATATAGAGTTTGATGGAAGTGCAAAAGAAAACAAATAGAACAGGAAAATGGGGGTTGAGAGGGCTATAGGTAGCATTGGTTGCATTTTAAATAGGGTGGTCCGGGTAGGCCTTATTGTGAAGGTCAATGTTAAGCAAAAAAAAAATGCCCTGCAAACCAGGTGAAGGGTGTCTCCAGAGTGGTGCTATGCAGTAGCCACAGGCACAGAGAGTAGCCAAGTAGGAAATGAGATCTTATGGATGAAGAGTGGTTGATCTGCAGGTCATGAAGCAGATGTAAAGCTTTCCTCGAATAAAATGGAGAGCCACTGGAAGGTTTTGAGCAGAAGGGTAACATAATGAGACTTAAGTTTTTAAGAGATCACTCTGATTCTTTGGAGGTGGGGGACAGGGGAAGCGGCCAAGAGTGGCGGCAGGGAGACTGGTTAGGCGGCCATTGAAGAAACGCAGGTGTGAGTTGGTGGTGATGGCTCGAAACGGTATTACTTATGACTAGTCCTGAACCATTTTTCTCCCTTTGGCTACCATGTCTCAACAACATAAGTCAGCCATTTGCTTCTGGTTTTTCTTACTTTAAAGAGAAAAACAAGTTTTC